AGAGGATAATGGGCACGGACCGGCCTCGTAAGGATTCCTTCTTGACCCGCGGATCGAGCGGAGTTGCTCACAGTGCAGATTGGCGCAGATGAGGATGGTCGCGAAACGAGGAGGAGAAGAAGAAGAAGAAACCGGAGTGAAGTTAAAGGAGGACGAAGAGGATACTGACGCGATCGGTTACGATTCGCCCGCTCTCTCGGGCGGATCGTCGCGCCGCGATGGAATTTACGCGTTTAGGCGTCGGCTGAATGCTGATGCGTATACGGCCTCGTATAATGTCGCTATCGCGCGGCCAACGGCATAATGGCTCTCGTCCAAGAATGACGGCGTATACGACGCGCGCCGTTCGCGACGGAGCGGGCTATCGGTAATTATTTATCTGCCGATCCCTGAATGACCGTAGCACGTAGGAACGTGCTCGTCGACGTTCTATCGGCGGTATATGTATCCGCGCGATCTCGTCTCTCCTCTTTCCCATGATCTTACGTCTGTTTCTTAATCCGCTTTGACGTCGCTGACGAGAGAGCCCTATATGGCGTTATCTATCCTGCGACATTTTACGATATCGTATATAGGCGTAATGCGTATGTGACGCGTGGATATATTTATACTCATATATATATTTGCGCAATGTTAAGAGCGTGCTTTACGTACGAAGATATACGTCCAAACTTTTAAATCTTTAATCTTTAGTATAAAATGCATGTTTAGTCTGTTATCAAATATTCCATCGTATTATAATGATAGTAGCATATGCAATGATAATTATATAGGTACTTAAAATATATATATATAGATACATTATGTCTTTATTCATACATAACTAGGATAGGTTATCTAATTAGAGTTTTATGGTGTTATTAAAAACGTGAATGTGAATGCCATAATATTTACAAGCGTCTAAGCCACTTTATTATTTGCCAAGGAATCTCATTTTAAAGAGTAAAAATTGAGCCAGTCTTGAAAAAGAGTGGTTCAATTTTCAATCTTTAAGAGTAAGATTTCATTCTTCAGAGTGAGATTCGCTGTAAAAGTTTTGGAGAATACAATATTTTAAACAATAATAAGATTGGAAATAAGACCGTTTATGTTAGATACATTACTTCAAATACGAAACGCCATTACGGTCTGAATGTTAAGATGTTGAACTATTATATACATATTCATTTAAATGAATTAATTTCAGAAATTATATAATATTTTACATTAATTACGTCCTAAAAACGCTAGAGATATGTATCTGTCTCTCCGCATAAAAGATGCGTTACGCAATATAATTACAGTTGATAGCGCGATAGTAAACGTTGCAATTCGTCCCGATAACACCACGGCCGTAATCGCGTACACGGGCAAGATGATAAGCAATTAGTCAGCTACTATGACCGATTCTAAATTATTGTTCGAGACATCTCGAGATATCTCAATCTTCTCTTCTCGGCCTCTTATTTCTGCGCGTCCCTTTAATCGCGCTGCAGCTTTATGCTTCGTGCAGAAGATCGGACGATTTTACGACGATCGCAAACGATTTATTTACGCGCAACGAGCGTAAATAAATACATATGCATCCACGTGCAACACTGCAGTGCCGGCGTTGTGTCGTTAAAATCGTTGCGACATCGTGGTGAGAGAAGATCACGCGGCGTGCCACATAAATTGACCGTAAATAGATCTCATATACGCGATACAATCAATCGTCCTCGTAAGATCAATCTTGTTACCGATCGCCCTTTCGTTCCTCCGCGATTTGTTCATTTTTATCGTCTCAATATTTATCGCATACCTACTTCCCCTCCGCTTCGCGTTCGCGCTTTCGTCAGATTAACGCGATGACGTTCGGCGATACTGTTGCGAGTTACACTCTGTTGCGTGACCTAACGGAGGTCCGCCCTGTAATTTCATTTGTCGAGATTCTATCGCGGAATTTATATGGTCGACTGGTGGAAATATGTCGTGGAAACCGATAAAGCAGCCGCGCATAATGCAAATGTTATTATGCGTTTCTCGAGCTTCCACGTTCGGCGAGCCGTTAAATCGGCTCACACGTGAAGAAATGATAATTCCTTTATTCATTTTGTAGAACTAACTGCTTGATTTCTCGACAGTTATGAAGAATTTAGTTATTAGAACCAATAAATCTCTCTTTGCCTTTTTTCACGCGGATGTGACGGGTTGATGCATTATTAAACGATAAATAATTAATGCAGTAAAACAGGTGGACATGTCCAGTTCTAACTCAATTGATTCTAAACCTCTCAATAATTGTGTGATTTTTATAATCCTTCTGATAAATAAAAATCATGTATGTTAATAGCGTGTATTATAATGTATAATGTCTCTTCATGTATCGTGTACATATTAAATCTGGCAAGTCTCGATCGCACTTCTGCAATTTTCTTACATGGATTATATCAAGAATTATACCGAATGCGAGTCACGTAAGTGCGACCGAAAAACAGACAAAGAATCCACGATGATGCATCGGTATCAGAGTGACGCAGCGCGGAATTCTGATACATACTATTGATACGTCGGTTCGGCGTCCTCGATCCTGCAGATAAAATGCGTACAAAGAAGTCTACTATTTAAAACGCGTCTGTCTGCCGAAAGAATTTTGTGTTCATCACGCCGACTGAGATGCTGCTACTATAAAGATTGTAATCGCAACTGCAAGAAATTTTACTGAGCATTGCATGTAAACGTATATATTAAAGTTGAATGAATTTAATGAATTTCAGTTTTTAATACTCATTAATCAGTATGAATAATGAGTATTAAAGTATTCTGGTAACAACTTTTTAGAGGGATTTAATATAATATTAATTAAAAGCATTTAGCAAAAATACGATTTTATTGTTTGTGATATTACACGATTCTAGACAATATTTTGCAATTCAATTTCGTTTAAAATTGTGCCGACGAACGGAACTTCGGAACTGTGCATTGTTGGCTATCAATTGGTACAGTAGGTTGATATCGCACTAACGGTACTAAGGAGAGTCGAGACTGAGTAAATACTCATGTAGTGATACTCATGACAAGGACGAGCCATGTCGCAACAGGAAGCAACCGACGCGGTTCGACTGGTCATGATGACCGATGAGCATTTGAAAGATAAAGTTCGATAGAGACTAATTTTATGTAGCGATATTTCATTCTTCTGCCAAATGATATTTTTTGTCCAGTAAACATTCATCATTATTATCATTATTAATAAGGTAAAAGTGCGGTCCTACAACAAATATAAAATTGAATATGTAAAATGACGAAGGGCAAACTTGGAAAATTTGTTGATAAAAAAATGAAATAAATATGCATGATACAAATAAATTTAAAAAATTAATATGCATTATATAAATGAATTAAAAAAAAAAGTCCAAATTGCTTATTAAACATGAATAAAATGAAAAAGAAAAGTAATGCCAAACCAGTAGAATCTGCATATAGCAACGAAGCGTGTTCGCAGATCTTTTAATGACGCAACGATAACGATTATGATGACAGGTTTATACTGAGTGATAACGCGTTTTGCATCTTGATATCATTACATCGTATCATTAATGTAATATTTCTAATCTCGTCGAATATAAATTCGAGAAAGTTCGTTGTAGACAGTATATAGATAATTGAGTTACTAAGTGAGATAAACATAAAAAAATTCACTGCATATAACTCGAAGTAGTTTCGATATCGTAATGATTTTCTAATCTAATGAGCATTTATGCACACATACACGTATCCTAACATTCACGCATGCGCAAGCGAAAAATTTTTATTCTTAAAAAAAAAAAACATTTTTAATAATTAGACGTTTTAAATAATATACTCCTGGAAAAATTTGCGTGCAGAATTTTTCTACATTATAAGTTTTTCAAGTAATTTATGAAATTCATGAAAGAAAATTGTCAGACAATGATTTATCACAATGTTTACATCTTCCAAAATGAATGTAAGCAAACGGAAGGAATGACAAAAATCGTAGCGGCGTTCGGTATTCGTCCCGTCGAATATCGAGAGACTGAGAACACTAAGTGCATTTAATCCCGACCACAGTGCGACAAAAAAGGATCATCGGCTCATCGCCGAACCGGTGGCGCGCGCATCCGAGAAGAAGCATGAAGGGAAGAAGCCGGCGGCAGCCGCAGAAGAAGAGGAGAAGGAGAAGAAGAAGATGATGATGAAAAGGATAAGAAGAGAAGAAGAAAGAAGAGAGCTCTCGGCGCGTCGGTTTCCCTCGTGGCAATGCGGGTGCCGATTACGGGCGGTGGGTTTGAATCGCGACGCGACGCGTCGGCTTTATGCGTCTTGATAGCTAGCTGCACCAGGAGGCGGCGCCGCTACGTGCAACGGCGAGAGCCTACCTACCGGACGAGAAGTCGGGGACCCATTGGCCACCGCAATGACCAATCATCATTTGACATTCTTTCACCTTACTTCGTGCTTGTGTGCGCTAAACCGCCGCGCTGGGCAACACGGAGCCGTCTGCACGTATGCGTGCACGCACACGTGCGGCGCGTGCACGCACGTGATGTCGCGGTTCAAATACATCGAACGCGTCTGTTACCACTACTACCACCGTGACCACCACTACCCAGGATGCAGGCGATCGAGAGCACGTCTGATACCCGGCTCCCCAAGCACCGTGGAATATATGCACCGTCGTACTTAGCGTGCATCGGTAGCCGGCCGAGTACAGGTTTATTATTGTAGAAAAAAATTCAAGTCACTTCGAATTTCAAGTCGCGTCTTGATATATGGCACATACGTCCCGTGTACGTCGATGTGTCCGACTGATTTCAACGTCGCGTGGAACGATGCTATTTATGAAACTGATTTGCAACGTAGATACACGCGAAGCAATGTCTTTGAAAAAAATGGTGTACACCGGTAGCACGATGCTCCTCGACGAGTGATATGTGTTTGGCGATTTGCTTGTCGACTATTAAATTAATCACTTAAGTACGAAGTTGGATTGATTCTAAGTTAATTCGCCCGAAACGTACGGACATAGATGTTTCCGGCATCGATGTCTCCGGCATTGCTGTCTCTGGCGTTAATGTCTCCGGCAGTGCTATCTCCGGCGTTGATATCTCTAAAGCGCGGTCGTCAGTTTTGTCATCAGTTTTGAATTTACTTGACATCGAGATATGCACGATAGAATTCTGAAATATTAAATACAGTTAGATAATATAATATAATGAATTAATTATATTTAACAAAATTGAAGGACTCTTATTATACAAAATAAATAATAAATAAAGGGCAAAGTAAGAGCCAACACATTTCTTTAAAAAAAAAAAAAATTATAATAGTCGTCTAATTAAAAGAAAATACAAATAAAGAAAAACAAATTCGAAGGAAATATGTAATAAAAATAAAAATAAAAATAAAAGATACATAAA